CAATATGACATAGAAGAGAATAGCACCACACTTTATGTGAGTGTGAAATACTTCGTTCATAATATATATTTACATCTTACATTGAATTTTTTCCAATCAACATATGTTTTGTAATTTACCCAGGACCTGAAGATGGCCCGAATAAAGGTCGAAACGTCGGGAAAAAATGAAAAAGGTGTTTTTCTATGCTACCACATTCTTGACCTCTCCTCACGACTTCAACAAATTAAAAAAAATTAAGCTCGTGAACTGACGGATGGGGTTCGTTGAAGCACGCAAGGTAAGTCATTGGAAAGTATGAAGTTCTGCAGAGAGCGAAGAATAAAGAGACGCCACAATTAATCGCCTACTTTCATGGATTGTGTCGAAAATTACCTTGTCCCCCGGTGAAGGTGAAGACTGGCAGATTTGTCCCGCATTAGCTGATGGCATATTCCCAAAAGATTGTCAAGTGTGATGAAATGTGGGATTACTGGCTAAATCACGATAGCCGTGGAAAAGGATTTGATTACGATTGCAGTATAAAAAAAAAATACTGTACATTTTCTGTAACCACTAAAGTTCATCACGTGTTTGTTCCTGATGATGATGAGCTTTGAATTCTCCTGCGAACAGGTGGATAGAAAGTATTAATGAAATGTACGCCTGTTTTCCTTTTCATGAAACGAAGTACTATTAGCAACATCATTTTTCAACTAACTTTACATTATGTTTATATGTGTAATATTTTGAGACAGTTAATTATTGATTATTTAAAGTTCGTGAGATGCGGTCTGATGTGATTCAGGTTAGAAAAACATTTTCTTTATCGAGCCAACATTCCCATCTTTATTGAGATCATAACTACCCAGAAAACACACACTTCGAGCCCTGAAGATGATCTCAATAAAGATCGAAACGTTCGCGCGATAAAGAAAATGTTTTTCTAACCTACATCACACCATCTCACTTACTTAAATAATTATGTTTATAAAGTATGTGTGTATAACGTTTACATAAAGTTTGTCTAAATACATTAATGTCGCTACAAACTACAGTAGTTTTTTTTTACTTTCAGAATTTTATCATTAATTTAGAGATTAATTACTATTATTTTATGTATATATATATATATATATATTTGTTGTAAGAATCATAACTCCGGCAGACGTTTGAAAAACTTTGAAGCTATTTTTTATTAATTGTATTTTGACAAGAATATTATTGTTTCTTTATAAATGAAGCTTTGTTTCTACCTATTTATCATCTTAGTGTGGACAGAAGAAACGACCCATCAACTCACAGAGATGTTATCTGTCCTTAGGAACAGCGTAAGAAATCCGTAGGTGATCAGTAGAAAAAGACAACCAAGGAAAGGAATCGATCATTTTGATTTTCCAAACGTACAAATACGAGATTGTATAAATCTTGAATGGAACGGCTTTTCCTGCCTTCGGAGCTGTCGATTAGGATGGAGGATGTACTCTGATAAAAGGTCATTTGGATAAAACTGTCCCAATTTTTTGGAGTACACCTGCGCCTAGGTCTCAGTGTCTCCATATGGCATTGTTCTCACACGAACCATTTCCTAATATCCACCGGGATGTTTTAATGACGTTTATAACCAATTTTTGTGTAATCCGGCTTGAAAACTTCAGATCTAAAGTAAACTTATTTCCCTTTCCTGGTATATGTTCAAGTCGGTTTCAGAAATTTTCCCTAATTTACAACTTCACGAAGAAAATTATCGTTGTGAAATTTTGAAAGGTGTATTTTCCGCTATAATAAACTTCTTGAAAAGAGGTCGGCCGAGAGTCGAAAGGAAGACTGAGTGTCAATATCGCCACTTGGACACTTTTGTCGTTTTACGACCTTTGACAGGCTGTATTTCAAGGATGGAGACTGGAGAGCTACCTGCGTTATACTGCGTGTCACAACACACGACGTGCTATATATCCATATATATCCGGGACCTTTCCAGGAACGCAAGCGGCTAATGTGAATTACATGTTAACGCTCCGTAATTAGATTATAACTTTCTTGACAGTTCGGAAATGCTGTTAGAAACGGATTAATTAATTAATTAATGTTATCGTAAATTCTGTTAAAATGGGTTGAACTGACAGACCTCTAACCCTTATTACCTGCATGTATATGCCATGTATCGAATTTTATCTAATTTGTCTAATCTAAATGAAATAAATGTATCTAATATATGACGTTAAAATTTGGCCGTTCGTTCGTTTTCGTGAGTTTTCTGAATCAAAGAGCATATCTGTAATGGTCGAAATTAATTAATGGATAATTTTTTTCGTGTTAAAATTACATTATTATTTTTATGTAGTCTTGGTTGAGATGAAAAGGTTGTTGTCACGTGCGGGATTCAGACCCCATCAGAAAATTAAAAACTAGAATTAAAACAGCAACAAAACTGTGAGTAGAACTATCAGAAGATATTAAACAGCCTACTCACCCCAACTTTATCATTTCTATATATCACCCGTGATACAACTTTAAAAATTGCACATAAAAACAATAATGTTATAATTTCCAACGATAAATAAAGAAAAAAAGGTATTAAATAATCTATTGATGTTTAGTGGTCTAATTTACCATATAACTTATTTCAATTAATTATTCTTATGATGTAAGGTCTTGGGTGAGATGAAAAAGTTAGTGTCACGAACGGGATTCGAACCCACGAACTTCGGCTCAATACGCCTCGGCTCTACTAACCACTTCCGTGAAGTCACGATAGCCCAAGTGGTTAGAGCAGCGGCATATTTAGCCGAAGGTCGTGGGTTCGAATCCCGCTCGTGACGCTAACTTTTTCATTTCAACCAGTACCTAACATAAAGATTAATTAGTTGAAAGAAGTTATTTGGTCAATCGGACCACGAAATATAATGGAATATAATACACATACACACAAATTATAATAATTAAACTGTTTAATTATAATTTAATATGTAAAACGAAGTATAACTTTACTAACCGCTCTCCGTGGCCATTTCATTTGTCGCCGAGAATCAAATCCTGAATACACGACATTTGAAAAATGGCAAAAAGGAGGGAAAATTCGAAAAGCAGGTTGAGATGGAAAGTAGGCGTCCGAATGGATCGAAGTCACGATAACTGAAGTGGTAGAACAGCGGCGTGTTTCGCCGACGGTAGTGGGTTCGAATCCCGCTCGTGTACTAGCTTTTTCAATTCAACCAATACCTTACATAAAGATTAATTAGTTGAAATAAGTTATTTGGTCAATCGGACCATGAAATATAATGGGTTTTTAATGATTTTTATTATTACGGATAAATGAATTTTGAACATGCAAAAAAGTGAATACCAACACAACTAAACATCTTAATAAATACTGTAAAAAAATCATTTTAAATTGCCAATTGCTTGATTTAAAACTTTCCTTCTCAATGAGCTCAAAAACACCAGAACTAGAAAACGAGGTTGACTTATTTACAAAAACAGACCAAATGCAGCATCTTCCTTGCCTCACATTCAAAAAGAAAAGCTTCCAAATTATCCTCTCTACATAAAGCAATTAATATGTGACAAAAGAAGGACTAGAAACCTTTGGCAAGATCAATCATTAACAAACAAAATAAAAACAAATTTTTGAATACATTGAAAAAAGAAATAGAACTATTTAAACAACACTCACACAAAACACACTTAAAAAATTTGTCGGCAGAGGAAGGGAGCCATGGGATTGAAATAGAACAGTTCGGTTGGTAGCATTTTACTCTAGGGTGTACTATAATGCAATTTTTTTCGGGTTTATGCTGGACCACCCTGTATACAAACAACAAATACCTTGGTTTCCTGTGGCATGCAATGCGAGAACCATGGATTCTCCAAATTCAATTCACATAATAGTAATGATTGACCTTTTCTTTGTTATCATTACTGCAAAAGCCAGTTTAATTGGAAATTGCACTTCTATTGGTATCATTGTTATATATTGTATTAGCACATCCCCTCCTTTTAATTTTAGTAAGAATATTATTTCAATTAATTATACTTTTTATCTAAAGTCTTGGTTGACATGGCCATGCGAGGATGATACATGGACACTTACTTTTGGGTCAAAGCCTGCGTAGTGGCATGCAGAGAAAGGTGTCCCACCTAATTGAAGAGTGCAATTCCGTGCAGACAACGTGCAAGAATGCCACCCCTTTCAAGAAATGTGCTTGAGCATGGTTGTGACTCCGATCCCCTGTTACTACTCTTGGAGGAGACAGGGTTGTTCTGTTCTATATAGTAATAGTAGTTGAATATACCTAGCTTGTATTGTGAGTGAATGTATTTATTAGCACGAATGTTCGATGTGAGAGGGTCTATGGTGGAATATCGAGTACCCCATTGACCCTCAATTAGGTTAGTTGTAAAATGTGTATAAAGGTTGTGTTTAGAGTAAATGATATTTATTAGCGTGAATGCATGATGTGAGTGGTGGAATATTCTTACGATTAATAAACATACAAACATTCATATATATACAATTCATATCAAACAAACATATATATATAATAATAATAAAATTAAAATTTACTAATAGAAATTAAATTAATAAATTTGATTAATTTGTACGCCAAATATTATTTAGGTACATATTTAAATAAGAGGTAAATCAAAATCTATTTATGCATTTTTCGCCATGTTTCATTTTACATTTTTTAATTTCAAATTTCTCAAACCAATCTTGTCCCCACCCTTCGTTGAAAATATGTAACACTGTTGTATTTAAATTTTAATTGAAATTATCCAACCCTATACCCTCCCAGGCGACGGCGCTGGGGCAGGTGTTCGGGCAGGGGGGCACCCAAACCCTCTGACATGTATGTTGAGTAGCTAATGACGAGACGTAGCAAAAAAAAAAAAAAAAAAAAAAACTTGAAACTGTGTTTCGTTTCATTTAGATGGTCCTTAAATTCAGAAAAATTGTTCTACCAGGAAGTGAATTTTGTTAAAGTTGGCTAAATCAATTAATTCGATGGCACAGAAAATATGTAAAAACAAAATTTTATTTACAATAATTCAAATGTTTTAATGAAAAGGATTATTTGCCTTTGTTTCAGTTTGTTGAACAAAACTTTACCGATCATCATTTTCCAATGATTCTCTAGGTCATATCTGAAAATTAAAACAAAACAGTCAAAACAACATCTGGGGCCAAAAAACTCAATCGATTTACCATTTCCCCTAAGAACGACCACTTCTTCTTCTTCGCTCTCACCGCTCAATTCTAAAAATACAATTTATTAGATAGATGAATATACCGAAGCTGTATCACTTCTAAAATATCATACCAATTTTGTCTATTATCCTATCTTCATCAGTAATCGTTCTTACATAATTGACATCATTGTCATCATCACTTTCACTACTTACAGCACTTTCATCAATTACTGCATTTGGAACATCCCATGAGTTGTTTGTGCCAGTAGGAACCCACTGCTTCAACTACAACACCACAGATGAAAAAAAAAAATCAACACCTATATTCTGAGTACTTACAACTCGATCAGCTTCCATGGGTTTGAGAACTACTCCTTTTCTTTTGTCGACAGAAGCGTAATTTTTTTTGTATTTGGATTCCTCAGAAGAAGAAGACTCACCACTCTCTTCACCCTCCTCATCAGAATCACCACCCCCGGTGTCCATCAACCGTAACCCCTTCAAACTCTGTCCAATGCTATTTACAGTCAATTTAACTGAGTTTCTATCTTGGCAGGCGGACAAAATTCTATCAAGATCGATTATTTCTGTCAGCCCTGGGGTTTTTCCTTTACCCGCAGATCTGAAATTCAGTTTATAAACATCTCATTTTAAAAAACATACATATAATACAACCTCAATGCCGAATCTTTCTCAAGACAAGCCTTGACCGTGTTGATTATTTTAAGCCCCGCTTCTGCTGCATCATGAGCACGACTGACAATGAGTCCGCCGTCGGCAATCCCATCTCCCCGGTAGTGCATTCCACAGAGCTCATAATAGCTGTTCACGCCGACGACGAGCTCGGCTTCGCTCACCTTCTCCTCCAGCTCCGTGGGATCGACGACTGTCACAGTCCCCTTTTTAAAAACAGCAAACGACATGAGAACTGGAAAATGGTGCAGGCTGAGAGGTAGAGGTTCGTGCTCGCGCAGAGAATGAACTATGACCACTGAATCTTCGACGGTGACTCGAGGGGTCCTGAAGTGGGCCAAAGCAGCTAGCGTAGCGACAGAACAGCACGTATGGATGTTCCCATCGTAATTCAGAACAGTCACATCGACACGGATTTCCCAAGCCTACCAGTAAGGTATAATATGAGATGGTTTACGAGACTCAAGCAATTAAGCCTAACCTGTTCGCCGGAGATTATGCAGAGTGCTTCGAGATCGATGCACCTCGCGTCTTTGAAACATTTTTCAAGGAGGCGGTTGGCATGAGCTTGTAAATGCGACTGCTGCCCCGTCTCGAAATTGCTGCACACCATGTCGCTAATCTCAACATTGATGAAAAGGTTGCCTTCATTCTGCCGGATGAACCGTGGTTCGGCCAACTCGCACGACACCTGCGCCAGACACTTGGTCTCACCGAGGGCAACATAAACACATCCATATTCAGAGCCGAAATGCAATTCCAAATTCCTGTACTCGTCGAACTGCCGGCCGTCCAATCGCTAGAAATATAAAACACCAGTTATAAACAGACATGTATTTTGACACGGACTCAACCATCAAAATACAATTTTTTCAGGTGTCGACAGTAGGTATCTTCTATCACCATTTTAACATTACGAATGTCCAAATTGTGGATAGTTTAGTTCTGAACATACCACCGATTCGGTTGTGAATGGTTTGCACCGTCTTAATTTATGTATCATATAGCTATGACCATAATGGTGCAACTGTGTTGCCAAATAGGCCTTAAGGTCATTATGCTATGTACGGTTATGTAAATGAGTCCCTTCAGGAGGAGAGGTATTAATATTAATTTTTAATAACGTTTACTTACCAAGTTGTTGTCGATCGCTTGGTTGAGAAACCTGGCCTCGCAATTGGACACAACCGTGTCCCTCATTTTTGTATTATTAATTTATTTTAAATGTTCCGGACTACAAGTACATTAAATCATTAAAGTCGACGTTCGATTCAGTTTCACACAACCACGTTAGTTTATAGTAACCAAGAAGGTAACAATGCGGTTTTACACCACGAGTACCGGTATCGAATATCGATACTAAACTGTGTGTTTATAGGTACTCGGCCCTCAGTACCAAATACTGATCAAATTTGGAACAGGAATCAGGGTACAGTGCGCATTACAAGGATTTTATTTACACTGTTGGTCAAAATAAACAGCCACCGGTTAATACAGTTGTGTATAGCTAAAAGGTTGGGACCAAGAATACTCCCTTGAGGGAAGCCAGCTTTATCGAAAGGCTTTTGGGTCTGTAGGAGAATATGTATGAAAATAATAAAACAATTTATTTTATATTTACTAAATAAAAAACAGTTCTTAAATTAACAACTTTACACTTAGTAAATAACAATATAAGAATGTACACAAATTGTGTTACAAATATAGAAAAATTAAAAAACAAAATGAAAAGGTTGATTTTTTATATATTACCATGCGCTTGGCTTAAAATGCTCCCTAAATAATTATGATTAAGATCCTTTTCTTCCTTCCTTTAGAATGATTTCATTTTTAATTTTTTTGATTTTTATGACAAGATTGTTTTTTACACCTTATGATCTGCAACAATCAGTGAAATAATATGAATCATTGATATGAACAATATACATTATTGTTCGTCACCTGGGTTTTATTTCCCTGACAGGTTAAATCTCGATTTTCCAGCAGGCACACTCTCGTCCTTATTTGAATCCCACGTCCACATGAGACATTGCAAGGACTCCATACAGACCAAGGTGACCATTCCCCGACTGTAATGCGTTTTACGACATTTTAAGATTTAAAAAAATAATTGCAATCGTATGTTAAAATTACGTGAGCATTTTTCAATACTGCACTGCACAATTTCTCTTCCATTCCCTGAGCAATTTTCACCATCAAATTCTGGCTTTGGATTAGTGCATGAGCGTACTCTCATTTTTACTCCATTCCCGCAAGTAACGGAACAGTGATTCCACTCCGACCAATCACTCCTGAGAATTTTTTACAAGTAAATAATAATTTCACAAATTTTCAAAGTATTAATAAGGATTTACTGACCACCCCCCTTTAATCGGGCAAGGATTCAAGCTGCAGCTTTCAGATTCATTGCCTTCACCAATGCAATCAAAACCCTGGCAAATTCTGGAGCGATATCTTGTTCCTTTTCCACATGAGGATGAGCACAAACTCCAATCTAGCCAGTCACTCCAAATTCCATTTGGCTATTTTCATTTATACAAAACCACAAAAGTGTATTTTATATTTTGAAATACATATATGCTATTTTATAGATGAAAATTTTCTTTTTTGTAGGGCTTTTTTTGTTTTTTATTTTTAAATGAAAATTACAATATTTCATCTTTCAGTGATTCTCCGCTATTTTGAAGAAACACATATTTTATCCTTTTAAAAAGATAGTTTCTACTCACAGTAAGGAATACACAGAACTACTTACAGTGAGTAAGAATTATCTTTTTAAAAGGATAGAACACCGCACTCACACCACCATTCATCATTTCCATATATTTTATTTCTTAACATAGTAAAATAAAAATTATTTCAGCCAAAGTTTAAAAAAGTGAATTGCCAATATATTGCCTTTTTACATTCATTTTCGTCTAATAAAAAGATAACGAAGATTAATAAGCTATTCAGTAACATACAGTGCAGGGGAGATAGTTGCATTGCTGTTTTTCCACACTTGGACCTGTTATTGTGGAATTGTCGTATTCGATAAAATAATTCTCCAAAGGTCCACTTTTTCTCCCAACAATGACTCTTGTTCTAATTTGTTCACCCTCATCACAAGATTTACTACAAGAACTCCACTGGGACCATTCACTCCAATGTAATTTCACTATAAAAATAAATATTTTAAAATCAAATCATGTTCAAATACCTTCAGCATTTTTCAACTTTGATGTAACTATTTTTGTATGTACAAGTAAACTGGGAAAATTTCCTAAATTAATAATGATATGATACTCAGCAAAACAAAGGGAGTCTAAAAAATAAAAAGTAAATTATTCCGTTACCTTTAACTATCAAAGAAAATGTATTTATAAGACCGCTATTATTTGCACAATAATAAATTCCACCATCTTCTTCCTTGACATTGACAAAGTGCAAATTTTCTTTGGAATTTGTTAACAATGAATTGCCCTTAAAAGAAACATTTTAGTAATAAATTATTCAAATATTAAGTCAATTATACCACAATTATACTTTGAACCAAGTAATATTTTGCTTAATATTTCCAGGCACCATACACTTTAGAGTGAAGGAAGAACCACTGACAAATTTAACTACATTGATGTTTTGGCTTACTAAATTTGATGAAGCTGAAATTAAACAAATACATCAATTGAAAATAATTGTGTTTTGAAATATGATAATCTTTGACCTATAGAATGAAAATGTTATCAGTCATATTTTTGCACGTCACTGATCTTCGTTAACAAATAATTTGTTCATGATAGTCCTTTTATGTTTCATTACTGTTCAAGCAAAATTATTTTCTTTTTAAAGAATCTTTTTACCTCTTACAATAACTTCAAAGTGTCGTTCATCTTGACCAACCTCATTTTGAACCGTATAAGTGTAAGAACCACTTTCCTTCAGTGTTAGATTATAGATTTTCTTTAAAAAAATATTTATTATGGAATGCTAATTATGTTTTTATTTTTATTTAATGTGTACATACTAGTTGCTGACAATTTTTGTGATAAGAATAGGAATAAAGTTTATCATTAGCATTTGAGTGATTTTTTCTCCAAGAAACCGAGGGTAATGGAATTCCAGAGGTGTAGCAGTTTATAGTCATGTTACTTCCCTCTGAAACCTCCAATAATATGGCACTTGATTTTATTAAGATTTTAGGCGGCACTAAAATTGAAAATATTATCATAATATATACATTAATTATACATATAATTTTTAAAAATTACACATAATTAGCCTACCAATTTTTTTTAAACTATATATTACAAAAAATTTAGGTGTTCTACTTCTTGAGATTAAGTATTGCCTACTAATGAGAAATTGTGTAACTTCACTGATTATTTATTACCATTATTTACATGTACATGAATGTTGTGGTCTTCCTGAATCAGGAACTATTGCGTGTTGCTGACATATTAAAATTCCAAATTAGATATAAATTAAATTTTGTACATAATAAATAAGTAATGTGGTTAAAAGCTTATTGCTCTGTAAATTGTAAACTTTTCTTTTAAACACTTTAAATATAATTTTAACATTATTTTTTTGGAATTCTCCATTGGGAGTCAAACCACTATATTTAATGTCATTCCATGATAATTCGAACATTAAAATTTTATATAGTTTTCCAATTATTGTGGCTATAATTAAATGTATTATTTTTATGTATATATTTATAACCTTAAAACAAAATTCATTTGATAAGGGATTTTTTTATTTTTAGGTTTGCTGTTCCCTTATGATATATTTTTTACATATATAAATAACAACAGGCAAAAATAAGCAGCAGTAGATAAATATACATATACATATGTAGGGTGGTCATCGTTATGTGCTCTACCTATTGTTTTTTAAAGAAGGCAAATTAAAAAATAAATAAAATACATGTATTTCATGTTCCTAATGTTCTTCATTTTGGCTAATATAGTTTGATTTTTTTCTCTAAATATTGCAAAACTACACCAACCAACTTATTTAGCCAAAGGTCATAGGTTCGAATCCTGCTCATGACCCTGAAGTATAATCAATTAAAATAATTACTATGGTGCCATTATGACTACTAAAAGAGATATATTTTTGATAGTATTTAGTTTCCTAAAAACATCAAAAGTTTTTTAACTGACATGCTTTTCTTTCAAAATTGATTCTCAATTTTGTGTGAAAAATAAGTTGCCTTATAACTCCATACCTTCTTAAAAGTGCCTCAAAATGGTCTTAAAATGTTTCAATGATTCAGTGTTATATGAAAACAAAAACATTTAAAAAATTTATTTCTACATTACCAACAACCTTGTAGACAAGGACTGTCGTTGGTTTTAAGCCGAGTGATACTCATTTCATTTTTTCAACCTTTTATTACAGAACCACCAACAACTTATTTATTGACAGCTTCTTTTGTTGTCGACAAATTTGTTGATCTTTTTTTCTTATTTTATTTTTTATTTTTACTTTATTAATTCATTTTTGTTGGTGATTTAGAAAAATATTTTTTAAATGTTTTTGTTTTGCACATAAAATTGAGATATAGGGAATTTTTTAAGAACATTTTGAGACATTTTTAAGACAGTGTGAAGTTATAGGGGAGCAACTTATTTTTCACACAAAATTGAGAATAAATTTAAAAAGCTTGTCCAATTTTTTTTTTTTTAAGAGATTAAACGCTATCAAAAATGTGTGAAAGAGTAATAGGTCGCAATGTTTATAGAAAAATAATCAGCATCAGCCAAAATAAAGTTCATCAGAATTCATGAAATTCATGTTTTTTTGTCTTCATTAAAAAAGTATGAAGTAAAATGTATATACATAAAGTATGTCAGGCAGGAATAGCAACCATTCAGCGATGATGATAGTTTGTTGATTTACTCCACTGTAACTTGTACTTATGATATTGGTCGAATAATTACATTACATGAAAGCAGAAAAATCTAAATTGTATATAAAACATTTGAAATAATGTATGTTAGAATTGTGAAAGGACAAAAACCAACATTTAATAAATATCCAATAGAAAATATAATTGATTGTCATATCACGTTTTCTTTTATTTAATGTAAGAACTTAACCTCATAAAATACTATAGATGTTGCTAATCTTTTGAATTTCGCAATTTTTATTAAAACAGTTAATATTGTTTAATTATCGCATCAATCCTTCCTTTAATGTATATTAAAATATATATTAAAGGATTTGGTAACAAGATACTTTTTGAATATTATTAAAATAAATTTTCATTACCTAATATAAAAACGTTTACAGTAGCCTCCAAATTGCTACCTGGGTTAAAGACTTTGCACTTATAGGAGCCATTATTAGAAATATTTGTTTTTTCAATGATGTAATCACTTTGATTCAAATAAGCATTTATTTTATCAATCAAGACATTGTCCTTTTCCCAAAGGATCTCACTTTTGACATCACTCCAAATAGGACATTTGATCTTCAAAGGCAGGCCCTCGGTCTGGTATAATTTTGTTGAAATATCCTTCAAATACTTGAGCGGTGCTGTGACAATGTTTTAAGTAGGACTTGTTGTATATAATATAATTTATTGACATAGATAAAACTGTACAGATTTAATTGTTACCAATAATTTTCACTTTAAATGACTGCTTGTCTGTACCAGCTCGATTTTTCGCAAGACACGTGTAAACGCCTTCATCTGTTTTGGATGAATTGAAGACTCGGAGAATGTGTTTATTACCAATTTCTGTTATTGATAAATTAGTGCTATTATTTGTCAGAATTGTGTTTTGCCTGGTATTCCAAACCACTTTCACTTCTGTCAGATAAAAGACGATACAATGCAGTTCAAAAGGTCTCGATTCCATGACAGTAAACTCTGAAGTCCCATTTGCAGCAATACTCGGAGAAACTTATAAACAGAAACTTTATGAATGAAACTGTTGTAATAAAGATTACTTATTTATTACCTATTACATTGACTTGGAAACTTTTCTCAATTTTCTCTTTTGCGTTTTCCCCTCTACAGTAAAATAAACCATGATGGAACTTATTGGCTCTTTTTCTCCTCAAAATGTTCATATTGTCAGTAAGATTTGAATTCCAAATGCTAATTAAAAGTCAATTAATACATGGATTATATTACAATTATTTGTTTAAGTCATTTCCTTTATTATACCTGTTTATTGAAGATTGAAATTCCCATTTATATGAGCTATTTGAATCTCCTTTGATATCACAGTGTAATTCAAAGGGTTCATTTTCAATAAAATATTTCACTTCAGATTTGTTTACAACTCTTTTTTGACCTCCTTCAATTCAAGCAATAAGCAATTATGAACAAAAATGATTGGTTTGACTTGGTGCACTTTTGTGTAAAAAAGTATTTAAATTATAAAAACAAGCTATTTATTAAACAAACTTTGAACAAATTCAAAGTTATTATTATTCATTAATAAATATTTTTAAAAAATAGCATATTAAAAAAGTAGTTAATTTCTTACATACTTGAAACTTTTAGATTAAATGACCGTTTGACACTGCCAACTTTGTTGCTCCCTTGACACATGTAAATACCGTTGTGAGATAGTTGAGCTTCTATTATTTTCAAAATACCCTCAGACATTTCAACGTTTGGTAATGTTAGATTTGTTATCGGTATTTGGCTTAAGCTATCATGTTTTTTAAATCTCCATGTCACCTAATTTCAAAGCACGAAATTAATTATTTCAATACAAAATAAACAATTTCTCACCTTGGGCAATGGGTTTCCACCGATGTCACAGTTTATTTTAACACCATTTCCTTCTTCAACCTTAAACTCAGATTCGTAGAACTCGTCCAAAAAATATGGCGTATGTAGTACATTCAGGAAGAAATTTTTTGTGATACTTTTACCATTCCTTTTAATAATGCACGTGTAATTTCCACCAGTAGAAGAGTAGACCTCATCAAAGTTGAGTCTCATTCCATTGTCTTTGACTTCGTACTGATCAACATCTGACCTTATTCTTTTTTCTTTGATATTTACACCATTCTGAAAGCATCTTTTTTGTATTATTTATTCAAATAATGATATCTTTTAAGCATACTTTGAACCATATTATTTCTTCCCCAGGTTTTGCCAAACAGTGGAGTTTGGCTGGGTTTCCATCCAACTCTTCTACTAATTCAAAATCTTCAGGAATTGAAGGAATTGGTGCTAAAACCAATATTTTTCAAAAAATATTTCTATTAAATCAATCAAAAATAAAATAAAATAATAAATATATATTATATTATCTACCTGATACTGTAACCTTATAAACTTTTTTAACAATCCCTTGATTATTAGTGGCTGTACAGACATATTCTCCTGAAGTTTTTTCAGATACATTCATCAAAACTAATGTGTTATCCTCAAGAGTCATATAAACTTCTGTAATAAATATATCTTTATTAACACCTATACCTACAATCATAAGTAATGTATTTTCAAATTGATTACCTGTGATAATGTTAGAAGGAACAAATTCGCCGCCAATTTTCCATTTGACATCTGGTTTTGGCTGCCCTTTTACAGTGCAAGGTAGGGCAAAATCCTCGCCAAAATTTACATTCACTTCGCTTGGAAGGATTTCATCGACTATAGATGGCAGTGCTGCAAAATAATTTTGTAAATTCGCAAGAAGAAGCTTTAAAACATTTTTTAACGGACATTGAATGTCAACGTGATAGAATTTTTCCTTTGTCCCTAAAACATTGACTGCCATGCACGAGTACTTGCCAGAATTCTTATATGTCACATTTTGTAGGTACAACTTGCTAGTGCCGTTCCTAAATAAATTTTTCATATAATAACTTTCATAAAAATAAAAAAACATGAATTTTCACACCCTTCTAATATAAAATGGTTCTTTATAAGCATCCCATTTTGTGACCAGATTAATTTTGGTAAGGGGGACCCTTTTACTTTGCACATCAATACAGCATCACTGTTTTCCACAAAAGCTAACTCTTCATTTTCTGGGTTTTCAAATTTTGGCTCAACTGAAATAAATGTAAATAAACTACAGTTCATATAAAAAATTGTTTACAAATTTGAAAACTTACCTTTAACAATAATCTGGATTGTTGAGTTGTCCGAGCCGACTGAGTTACTGGCAATACAAGTAAAATTTCCAGAATCTTGTTCCGTAGCTGTAAACCTGTAACCTTAAGTTGTTTGTAAAATTTCATTTAAATGGAGATGTTCGGTTTACATTATTACCTTAAAACTGTACTATTGAAAGTATATTTTTTTGCAATAAGTTTACCATCTTTATGCCATGTTACTTTTGGTGCTGGTTTTCCTCTAATTTCACATCTTAAAATAATTTCTTGGTTTTCATATACGGCGCTGTTGTGAGCACTATTTATTGTTAACATTGTTTTAGGGATCTCTACATGTAAAAAATATAAAAATAATGTTAAAATTTATGTCAAATATAAGCATTGTACCTGATAGTGAATAAATTTAATTGTATAAAAATTGTTAGGTACCAAAAACAATCAGCTTTACTGTGTAAGAACTAATTCCTGCTTTATTTTCTGCTCGGCATGTGTACATTCCCTCATCATCCACAGTTATATTATAAATAGTTAAGATGTCTTTTATTGAGGAAAATGAACTATAAAACATAAAAAAATTTAAATCATTATCTATTAAATAACTGACAATATTTTCTTTTTATGTACGTTTTATAATTCGGGGAAAGAGAATTATTCCGTTCCCAGTGTACGATTGGTTCTGGCTCTCCAAAGGCAAGGCACAAAAGGTCTAGATTACTCCCAGACAGGGTTTGAACTGTGCTTGGCAAGTTGGGTGCAAATTTTGGAGGCTCTGCAATAAATACTATATAAGAATATTGATAATTACATAAATTAGCAATTATTACCTAAAATTAGCAGAGTGATTTTTTTAGAATCACTACCGGCTTTATTTATTGCTACACAATTGAAATCGCCAGAATGGTTCTTACGCACTTGGAACCTAAATACACAAATTAACACAGAAATGTCGCTGTATATTAAAGAAATGACACTACCTGAGTGTGCCGTCTGATGACAGATATCCTTCGTTGAATGGTTCACCATTCAGGAACCAGGAAATTTCAGATTTAGGTTTTGCAACAGCATTGCATTCCAGCACTACTTCTTCTCCAGGAGCTGCTTTTGCTATGTCTACCCATGGAGTTATCAATGGTGGTTCTAATAAAATAAAATAGAAAAAAATTAACTAAATCCATTTCCAACTAGTTTTGAATTAAAATTATCTTTATTAGAGTAAATACCTAAAACTAATAATTGGACTTTTTTCATTATGGTGTTAACTTTATTTGACGCGACACATAAATAAATTCCTTCATCGGTATCTGAAGCTTTAGAAATGTTCAGTACAACAGTCCCATTTCTGCAAACATTTTATATATTCTTTTATCTTTGTTTAAAACATATATAAAAAATATCTACCCTTCATTTTTTCCATTTAATATGTTTTCATTAAATTCCCAATGTACTTTTGGCAATGGATATCCTGTTGCTTTACAGATCAAGACAGCCTGTTTTCCCTTAATAACTTCTATTTCATTTGGTAAATTATTGATAACAGGTTTTTCTACAAACATGATAATTACAAGATAAAAGCAACACTAATTGCAAAAAAATATTTTACCCAATATTTCAAGCATTATGTCAGCCTTGTCAATCCCCACTTTGTTTTCAGCAAGGCATGTGTAAACCCCTGCGTCGGAAGTTTCAGGCGTGAACCTTGAAGTATTTTTAAATTAATCTCAAAATATGTTTCATTTACCCAGTAAAACATACCATACTTCACCACCATAGTATTTTTTTAGGGGAATATTATCTTTTAGCCACTTTACGTCCGGCTTTGGTATTCCAACTGCATTACATCTCAATGAGATGGCATTCCCCAATTCAACTGACACCTCTTTCTTCCATGAAAGTATTTTAGGTGGAACTAAACACACAAGGTTTTTATTAGTGTAGTCCTTAAAGTGGAATTTTGTAGAGGAATACCAAACACTTGGAGAGTCACTTCTTTTGTCATTTCCCCAGCTAAATTTTTAGCTAAGCACAAGTACCTGCCTGAATCTTCTACCTGTACCGCATCAAAGTACAGGGATGTAGAGTTTTCTTTTCTATAGCTAAAAAACAAAAAAGTATCGATTTATAAAATACAAATCAAATATCATTCTCTTTATTTAACATATGCAGTACCCTCTCATTATTGAATTGAACTGATATGAATCTCTCGTCCATTTCACTGTAGGCTTTGGATCTCCAGTTGTTTCACAATGAAGAATGACTGGATTCCCGACATTTGCAGTGACACTGGATATTGTCCTTTCATAAATAATTGGTGGTTCTACAAAATGAAAATATTTAGCTTTAAAATATCACAGATGAAAAGAATACAAACCAAATTGTTGCAAGGTGACATTTTTCATATCAACTCCAACACCATTCTCAGCAATGCAAGAATAGTTTCCAATTAGTCTTATACTTAAAGCATTGAAGATCAGCGAACCATTTTTCTGTGAATATTTTTATCAACTTATTGGTTTCATTTATGTAACTGCAATATGAGATCGACAACTTACCGCAACAAAACCATACAAACCAAGCGCATCTGTGTCCCCCCCATATTGCTCCCATCTTATTTTTGGTTGAGGATTTCCTTCCTTTATGACACACTGAAGCTCAACTCTTTCTCCAATTAAATGTTTGACAATTTGATCAGATCCATTTTGAATTAATTTAGGAGGAGCTGGTAATATTTTTGGCAATGATAAAATAATTCATATTAAGCTTTTTTTGGTTCAATAAAAACATAATATTCATACTTGTTCCTATAATTGAGACATTTACTTCTTTTTCATCCATTCCAAAATAGTTCTCTGCCTTACAAATATAAATGCCTTGGTGCGCTAATGTTACTTCTAAAAAGTAAAATGAATAAATGTAATTTCAATTTCAGAGTAGTCTTGGTGAAAATTAAATAAAATACTTCTAAAATCAAGAATGTTTTCTATTGATTGAGCTTGAACAGCTTTGCCATCCTTTCTTCTCCAAGTTATTCTCGGTTCAGGTATTCCAGAAGTAGTACAAGAAAGGCTTGCTGTACCATCTATTTCCAAGTTTGCGTCTATTTTGTGGATGAATTAATATTTTTTGAAACAGGTTTTATTCTTATTTATTTATATTTTTGACTATTTTTACCTGTTGATGCTGTCTCTATTTTAGGGTTGGTCCCAAATGTCACAAATATTGAATCTTCCCCACGGCCTATCATGTTAGTAGCAATGCAGATATATCTTCCACTGTCTTCTAGAGTCGGTGACTTGAAGTTCAAAACTCCATTCTAAAATAATGTAATTATAGGGATCCAAAATTTGCAATATACTTCTATAATGTAACTACAGAATGGTTGACGTCGGAGATTCCATTGTTTGTCTTTTTCTTCCAAACCACATGAGGCTTTGGTACGCCAGAAGCATTACATTGAATTTGTAAGTCTTGCCCAGATAGAGAATAAACTATGTTCTTGTAGTAATGTATTGAAACGACTGGTTCCTCACCAAGATAAACATTTATCTCCTTATGATCTGTTTAATTTTTAATTTAATATTGATTTTAAGGAGATCAAGTATTTTACACTTACAAGTTCCAGCAGAATTAGAAGCCAAACATATGTACACTCCTTGGTCAGATTTCTTTGCATTTTCAATTTTCAATTGAATTGAATTCTCAGCATGTTGAATATTAATTTCTTTTGATGCCTGTAATTTGTACAATTTATGAACTATTTTCTATTGAACGTTCCATTCAGCACTTACATTCAAAAGAAAATAACTTTTAAACCACTTTATTGTAGGCATAGGTATGCCTTTAGTTATTTTGCATTCTAGCAAAATTGGACTGTTAATTTTAAAATAGAATACATTGTTTGAAACTTCAACTTCGGGCCTTTCTATAACTTCCACAGCTACCTGAACACTATCTTCACCACCTTAAAACAATTAAAAATAAAATAGAAGCTGGATGGTGTATAATGTGATAACCATTAACAAATTAAAAATAATTGTTGTTCTACCGCCATTTGTAGCAGAGCAAATGTAGACTCCACTGTCTTGTACTGTTAATTGATCAAACTGAATGCTTGCAGATGGTTGATCAGTTTCCATAATACTTTCCTGATAAGCTAGAAAAAAAGAAAACACTCCAATTATTTGTCTAGTCTGCCATTGGAATGGAAATGTTTAAGGAAATATTACCAACAGGTATTATTGGAGAATATTTTCTTCCAGGACAGTCGGTGTGGAGTACGACTATGCACTCTACACTGGATATCTAGTGTTTCACCCATGTGGGCTACTACTGATTTTTGGTCCAATACAACTACTGGAGGGCTTTCTGTAATTATTCATCATATATTGTTAATAATCCAACAGAGTGGTTGTTTCACATTCACCTGTCACTACCAAGTTTATGGTCAGAATTGTAACCCCTGCTATGTTTTGGGACCAACATAGATAAATTCCTTCATCACTCTTTGATACATACGGTATATGGTGCGAAATTTCTGAAGATTGCCTGATTAAAAAGTAATTAGTTGAAGATTTTGTTCAGTACAATCGGTCAAAACAATAACCGATTGATCAATTAAGTGGCACATAAAAAATTAAAATAAACTAACGAGAAACTTTTTGAAATGATTTGTGTTGAAGGTCTCTTAAACATTTTAACTGTTACTGGGACCAGTGATTGGATATGACAACTGATATCAATCGGCTCCCCAATTCTGGCTGTTATATTGGTCTTGCCCGATATAAACGGTTTTTCTAAAACATTAAGCAATTAATAAAAATAATAAAACTATCAGAAAAAAATTTATTTTACCTGGCATCTGCGGGGAAATTGCAGTCGTCGATATCCTTTCTAAAGGGAATCCATCATTCGTCTCACCATGAATCTGAAAGAAAAAAATTTGTATTAGTAGTGTAATTAATTTTTTTAATTGATGAACAACAATAAACCTCAAGTTTGAACAGTCGATCAGGTGGGACAAAAGGCCCGATTATGTAAGTACCATTATGAACATAGGATGTGTTGTATTTCCCTAACACGACTCCATCCAGATTTACAAGAGTTACAGACAGAACTCTGTCTGTCAATTCAGGAGAAGTCGTCTTGATCAAGAGGTAGTTTTGTGCACCTGGAAAGCACAATTTGTTTATATATATAAATGTCCATGTATAAATTCATAAAATTATATACTAAATTTGTTTAAAAACCTTTCATAGGATTGATCGATGTTTCTTTTAATTCGTTAGTTGGGATTATAGAAAACCCGTAAGTAAACGTATTTGAACTAAGGGCAGTTGTCACAACTGAATGAGCTGATCTTGCTCTGGTAATGTATATTTTCCAAAGCCCTGGTTTTGGTTGCTGAAAGCAAATTCTCATTATTGTATTGTCACTCATTTTCTATTTAATCCTACCTGAACACAGAAAACGTTTATATTGTCTAAATTAAGGAGATTTTGGATTTCACTTGAGTTAGGTTTAGACCCGTCGGGATTGAGCACATACAATGAAACATCAACCCCTGTTGTTGATACTGTCATCTCTTTTATTGTAGGGTCAACATTCAGCGTTATAATATAAGGAAGCTTAATTCCTTTCTTAAAACTGACTGATTTTAATAATACCTTCCCTTGTTTGGAATTTTCAGTGATGTAATTGAAAACCTAAAATTGTGATAACAGTTAGGCACATTGTTATAATTAAAGACCGTTTAATACTTTTTTGATGTCTGATTTACGGTTCAGGTCTATTACTAAACCAGAGCTGACTGCTGCTATAGTGGAATAGGCCATACGTTGGTCCCCTGGATAGACTTTATCTAAGCAATATCCCGTCAACAAAAAAAATATCTGAAATGGATTTTTTTTGTTTTTTTTTAAATAAAATGTATGTGTTGACAATAATATTGTACTGACTTGTGGGTGTTTCCTTTGTGTCAAAGCAATTATTTGTGGAACTAATTTGTCATAATCTTTTCCCAAAGCATCCGTAAATACATAAATGTACGAATTTGGCCTCGATAGCTTAATGGCTTCTAAAATGGCTGCTAAAGATTGTTCAGGACAGTCCACACCTCCTCCAATGTACACACTGTTAATTGCATTTATAAACACATTACTATCTCTAGTTTGTGTCGGTTGAGGTCGATTATCTGAAAATAAAAACAATTTTGTAGTGTAGCAGACAATTTCTGTTAACATACAATTTAAATAAACAAAAAAAACTCACTAAAATCATTAAAAGGAACAAAAATAAAATCGTGAATTTTAATATCTGATTTATTCAATAAATCACTAGTAATTTTCATTGCACTTTCTTTTACAAGATGAAGTTCTGTTGACATAGAACCTGTAGTATCAAAAACGAATACAAGAGAAACAGCATTGTCTATTTCATCAATCGACCTTTTCCATCTTCCCAATGCTGGATTGTGTATTATTTTGTCTTCAACTGGATGAAGTGACACCTTGGAGCTCACCTGCTCTTGGAAGTGGTTGAACACCTTGCCATAAAAATGAAGTGGCTTTTGAACAGGAACAAATTCATTTTTAGGTAAGAGTGTCTTCCCATCTATGCTAAATTTGTAGACTTGATTTCTGACATTCGGCATTTCCAACACTGCTTTAGAAGTTAAAATCTTTTTTTCAGTGCTATCACATTTCAAACAAGATATTTTAGTCATCTCCTTTTTCATTTTTTCATGATATTTTGGTTCTTTTGTCACTTCAGTTAAAGTAATTGGTAATTTGAAAAACGGCAAGACAGGGTTTTCAATAATTATGTATTTATTTGGAGGTAATTGTTCAAAGTCAACTCTTTCTTCTGGGCGTGAATCTAATCGTCGTTCATTCATTACTAAATGAAATTGTGTGAAATGTCCTGGACCATGATTTCCATTTGGCCTACTAGAAGAACTGTGTTTCTGTGCATGATCATGGGGGGCTGTTAAAACTATGTGTGAAGGCTGATTGTCTTTGGTACTTGAAATTGATTCAATCGGGTGGAATCTCTCTGGTGAAAACACAAAATCAATGTTTTGTCGTGTCACAGGTGGAAGCATTGTAGTGTAATAATTAGTATGAGTTGGATACAACCTTTCAAATTGAAAGGGTGGTTGCTTTACTTCCAGTGGTTTTTGTTTTTCTTGAGGAATAAAGAAAAACTTCTTCGGGTCAAAGCCTTGACTTGGGATGGTAACTTTAGGGATAGATTTTTCTCTAGGGTACACACTACTTATTGGAATTATTTGAAAACTAGTCTCTGATAGATAAGCACATTTGTCATGTCCTCTTATTCCTTTAGTATGGTTAAAAGTAAAGCAAATTGGGAAGAAATGGCCAAAAACATAGACGTACTTGGGCGGTTCATCAATATTTCTATTGTCTACTGATTTATATGTTACATTATTTGGTTTGTTGGTAAACTGATGGCTATCTTCTGGTATTATAAACAGTTTTTCTTTTAAAAACAAATTGTCTTCACTTTTAGACGGAGTTGAAACCGTGGAAATGGGAGGCAAATTTGGGTAATATTTGGGTTTGGGTTTAGTAGGACTACAGTTAAATATGTCACACACTTTTGGTTTAGACATATTTATTTGTTTTGCAGTAGTTAATGATGTTGGAGTTGTTGTAATGGCTGTAGATGGTAGTTGTTTTGTTGTTTGTTCTGGTCTAGTAATGGTGTTAGACAGTTGTTTTGTTGTTTCTGTTTTTGGATATGTAAGAGTTGTCTTATAAATTGTTGGAGATAATTGTTTAGCTGTAGTGGTTCTAGCATTAAACGGTTTGGTTACAGTGGTTTCTGTTTTTGGGATTTGTGTTGTAATGGTCTCTATTTTTGAAGGTTTTGTTGTAGCAGTCACAATTTTTGGATATGTTACAGTTGTCTTATAAATTGTTGAAAACAATTGTTTTGTGGTAGTGATTTTTGTTTTTGGAGGTTTTCTTGTAGTGGTTGTTTTTGGAGGCTTTGTTGTAGTGGTTTTTGTTTTTGTAGGTTTTGTTGGAGTGGTTTCTGTTTTAGGAAGTTGTATTATAGTTGTTTCCGTTTTTGGAAGTTTGGTTGTAGTTGTTTCTGTTTTTGGAGGTTTTATTGTAGTTGTTTGTTTTTTTGGAAGTTGTGTTGTAGTTGTTTCCATTTTTGGAAGTTGTGTTGTAGTTGTTTCTGTTTTTGGAAATTGGGTTGTAGTGGTGTCTGTTTTTGGTAGTTGTGCTGTAGTTGTTTCTGTTTTTGGAAGCTGTGTAGTAGTGGTTTCTGTTTTTGGAAATTTTGTAGTACTTGTTTCTGTTTTTGGCAGTTGTGTAGAAGTTGTTTCTGTTTTTGGAAGCTTTATTGTAGTTGTTTCTGTTTTTGGAAGTTGTGTTGCAGTTGTTTCTGTTTTTAGAAGTAGTGTTGTAGTGGTTTCTGTTTTTGGAACTTGAGTTATAGTGGTTTCTGTTGTTGGAAGTTGTGTTGTAGTTGTTTCCGTTTTTGGAAGTTGTGTTGTAGTTGTTTCTGTTTTTGGAGGTTTTATTGTAGCTGTTTGTTTTTTTGGAAGTTGTGTTGTAGTTTCTGTTTTTGGAAATTGGGTTGTAGTGGTGTCTGTTTTTGGAAGTTGTGCTGTAGTTGTTTCTGTTTTTGGAAATTTTGTGGTACTGGTTATCAGATTTGTAGATGTGAGAATGTTGTTCATGACTGTAGTAGATATTGAAGATTGTGTTGTTAGACTGGTTTCTGGTTGAGAAAACAAAGGAATGATTTTATTACTCTTTGTAGTTGGGAATGATAGTTGATCTTTAATTTTAGTGGGCGAAGGTGTAAAATCAGTTGAAGTAAATTCTATGTTAGTGTCAGTTGATTCCATTACCAAAATTTTATTTTTTTCTGTGGATGGTGTTTCTGTAGTTATTTTGTTTTTCAAAGAGGTAATGAATGAAGTGGTTATTTTTGTGTATGCAGTTTCAGTCATCTGTTGTACACCTCCATTTGAACTCAGCGTTGGTTCTTCTTTAGGAGTTTCATCAGTCCAGGTGTTTTCGTAATCTGAATTTTGTGTTTCATAATCATAATCTTGAATTTCACTTTCATGGCTTTCCTTCCTATCCGAACTTTTTTTTGTTAGCAAATTCCACATATCTTCATTGTTATCTAACTTTTTTAACTCAGTCAAAATGTCTCTCCTTTTACGCTTCCTGGCATTCCACTTTTCTTGATGGTGCACATAAATATCACAAAGAAGAAAGACAAAACAAACAGCACTCAAAATAATCAAGTACTTCATATTTATCACGGCTAAAAAAAAAAAATTCTAACAGTACTGTTTTAGCTAAAATATTATACTGACAGGGTATATTCTAACATTATTTTAAGTTGCAATACCAAGATAAGACTAAACAAGATATCATTTCATTAATATCTTATTTGGCCTCATGACCTTTGAGATAAACAATATTTCGTCTATCAAGTTTTTTCTTTTTCTTTGTATGAAAATATTATTCTACTAAACATCATCTGTTTTTGGAAGGATAGTTTGGAAGTGAATATGAATCATTTTTTTATTGTTTTACATCAATCATTTAAATCAACCATAGAATAATTTAATTAAGAAGAATGAAATTAATTTAGTTCTTCAACAAACAAAACAGCAATGTAAAAGAATATTTTTATATTTTTATTTGGAAATTTAATGATCAACATTTGAAATAGCTGATATGTCCCGGTTGTTTCGGGCGTAAACGATATCACGAATCCAGCTGCTGAAGCAGGCCACTTCAGTGTAAACCCCTGGGTAGCGAGGTCTGGCACACCCAACACCCCAACTCACTACACCACAAAGATAGTAATATCCATCGGCTCGTTTGCATGCTAATGGACCTCCTGAATCCCCCTGCAAAAGATCACAGTTTATCATTGTCAATAAAAAGAACTCTGGTATTTAACTAAATTTGTAAACATATATATGGAGTAAGCGCAAATGTTTTTCTGTATGTATGTTCTCAAATGTTCTGTATGTTTTTCTCCAATCACTATGGCTAGAGATCTGCAAGGACCCAACATACTTACAGATGGGTTTTTAAAAAACTGACACCCATAATTTAAATACCACCATTAGGAGGGAAACTCATATTTTTAAATAATAAACACTAATCTACCCACCTGGCATGAATCATATCCGCCTTGTTCCCATCCACTGCAAATCTGGCATTGTTGTACAAAGTTACTATAGCCAGCATTGGTGTAGAGTTGCTTACAATCTTTTTTCTTTACCATAGGTAATGTCACCCTCTGAAGTAGTTGAGGTAGCTCTCCACTTTCTGATAGTCGTCCCCACCCTGTTACAGTTGCATACCCAGTACAAAAATTATGGTATGGCCGTGGAACACATAGTGGTGCAGTCCAGACTCCATCTAGATGAAGAGCATCGACTTGCAAGAGGGCGATGTCATTGGAAAAGTTACCCTTCCTGTACCCTTTTGTCACAACCCTTTTGACATCCACTCTCTGCTCGTGTCCTAGAAAAATATCCATTAACTCCTGAAGTTAGTTTACAAACACAAAAATCGAACCTTCGACTTTGTAGAGGTCATAGTCACCAGCAACAACAGAGAGCGATGAGGAAGGGATACCATCGACACAATGAGCTGCAGTTACAACCCAGTGCTTACTAATTATTGTACCACCGCATATGTGTCGGGCCGACCACCCTGTCAACAACTGGAGGGAGACCTGCCATGGAAATTCACCTGGAAATGTTTATAAGAGATCCTATTCCCAAATATTTGACTGATAAAAAAATAATAAATTTGTGTGTGCGTGTGTGTGCAATTTTGTTTTCATAGAACAATGCTTTCTGCTTTTGATGCTGTTTAGTTAAAGAATTTCCATTTTTCAAAAAAGTGCAAAAAATGTAACATCTAATGTACATCCATTAAAAACGTATAAAAATGTTTGATTCGTAAAAAGTCTAATACTTGTGTTTTTTGCTCAATGAATAATAATGAATAATTGTCAACTTACTAATTAACTCTTTTTTTCTCAAAGAAAAAAATATACCTATACTGACATGAATAACACTGCAGTTGGATTGTAATGCAAGCAATAAACACTTCTGCGACGCAAACAATGTGCTCTGGGAAATAGGAAGTGTGTATTTTTATCATGATAATACCTGACACAATGAGGTATATCAAAGAAAAAGTAATTTACCAAATAGGACTCACATCACAGAACTATTTGTTTTGCTTCCTTAAAATTATTAAGTGCAAATTATTACATTAAAAAAAGTTCATTTAAAATAAATAGAGATGAACATATTTATAAGAAAGAAATGCCTTTTAAAGGAGTTGATATGCAACCTGACAAAAAATGGCAGGAAAAGTCTATATGTCAGATTTTTATACAATACTGAATATTGTTAATAAATAAATTTTGTTTATTTTTTATTGAATTGGACTTGTTTGCAGCTTTGAAATTCATAATAAATGTGTACATTTTTTTTCCACTTCATATTAGCCACAATACTCTTCATAATTCCATAGACATCCAAAACATGCACATAGCTTTTGTTACATAAACATCTGACAAACATTCACTTTAAACTGGCAAACCGGAGTCACCATAATCCAACAACCAAATTACAATTTTTCCTCTAGTGTTTTTATTAATATTTCCTTAATCTTAATTATCTGACGTCCATTGGATAAATAAACCCCTCTAATAGTTAGTTTTTAAAACATCAAAATCTTTTTAAAAAAAGTTTAAGAAATTTAGCACGAACATATTAATATTGTGCACTTTACAAAATGTTCGAGGTCATTTGATAAAACGAACTATTAAATTTATCACTACAGATAAAAGTAGTAAAACTCTAATTCAATAACTACAGAAACTACAATTATACCACCGATCATTTATTAAAAGGAAAAAATATTTTAAACTGGGCCGTCGATGGCCGCAACGATTTTAAAATTCAGCAACCCTTTCTGTAAACCACGGGGTGTAATATGACCGTGAACCCTAATTTAAAAAAACACGATTTAAACATCAAATGAAGTGTAAAGTAAAGTAACAATTTATTCACTTTAGAGAGCTTTCTCTATTGATTTTGAAATGATGATTACCACCCGGTGAATAAAACTGCGGCAAAGTGGACAGAATGGCTTGAGCGAGAGATAGAGCGCACATTAGTAAGATTTCAACGCCACACTTGGGACTTAAAGCAGTTAGTTAGTGCTGGAATTTCACATCGAAGGCTTGACGAAAGAATTTGCAAGCTGTCGAAAAGGTCTTGAAGAAGAAGAAAGCAAATTTAGTTGCTAATGCCAACCTGTCACTGTTATGTAATGTCACTGTTAGAGTCCTTGGAAATGTTGGGACTGAATCGCTCTTCAAGAAAATTTGAGATCGCCTGTAAAAAAAACACTTAAATATGTCAATCGGTAGACCACATTTAAGATTGTTTTGCCCTGATGATGACCTTAAAATAAGTCGAAAGCTTGGCATTAGCAACTAATTTGCTTTCTTCTTCTTCAAGACCATACCATGATCCAGAGTGTTTGTTTCTCAATGCAGAGAAGTTGCTGACATGACTCTGGTTAATCCGTACTCGCCCGCTCCATTTGTTTGTATCAAATTTATCTTATGCGCAACAATACCAGCCCTAAGTCGTTTCTCTGGATACGTCCAAGACGTGGATATTTCAATGCCAAGAATACACCGAAATAATTCGGGTGAGGAAAATTAAATTTCACCGTTTTGTCTATTCCAGCTTGTATTTTTCGTCGCTGACTCCATACTAAATTTTAGAGTTTGACTCAGTTATCAGTTTTTTTAACATTTATTTGTAGCTAATACAGATATGCACATATTAGAAATGTGATCACAATACGTTTTTCTTTTCACACGGTCACAACATAACACTAATGCCAGAATTGCATTCGGAGGACACATGCTATGAGAAGCCAGCCAATGCAGGCACTCAATGTGAGGGAATGGGGACAAGGAGGTCTCGAGGCCATCGTCGATTAAGGTGGGTTCTCGGTAAGAATGTGTGGAGAGGACAAGACACGTTGGTATTGAAATCGGGAACGGATCAGTTCGTTGAGAAAAGGAACGTTGAGGTCTTTGGGGATAGTGAGGTTAGTGACGCAGTAAGGAGCTTTGACGATTTGTCTGAGAACTTTGGCTTGGAAGGTCTGGGTGCGATGGATGCTGGATGGCTTGACAGAAACCCCTCCTTATGTCCAAAGTGGTCGCAGTAAAGTCATGTATAAGTGTGTGGTGATTAGTGACCGTCTATGATTATTCGGAAATCGTGAGATGCGGTCTGGTGTGCCGTAGGTTTCAGAAAAACATTTTCTTTATCGTGCGACGTTTCGATCACTCAGCTCAGTAACAGTCTAAAGTGGAGTAGAATGCCGTAAACCTCATGGTTTTATTTCGTTCCGTTCACAAATCACGATTTTTTTTTCTCACAAAAACACGTTTCTTTACATAAAATCTGTATTTTCTCCTCTATAACGTAAATTATCCTAACTTTTAACCCCACTTTTAGATTTAACACCGAATTTCCCTTCATGAAATTTGTGTAATAATAATTTTGGATCAACTTATTTAAATCGTAGCTACCTCACGTTACAATTTAAAAAAATGTCAAATCAACTGAAAAGTTCAACATTTATAAGCGTTCCAACGCTCTATTCGAAACCCCGATTATTTTGATTTTTGAAGGGCAATTTCAGTTGGAAGTTGGGAAAACGTGGTCCGGCCGGGGCGTATCCTGGAATTTAAATTATGGGCCAAGAGTTGATCGGGTTTTTAATCCTTAAGAAGAATTTGTTTCTTTACTAATAAATTATTTCAGAATGTATTTTCTAATTATTAATTTACATGCCCATTATTCTAATTCCTAAAGCTCAAACCTGCCAACCACATATCCTCCTGAGACCCAGACCCAGCTGCCTTCTTCCTTCAATGTACAAAATCCTCGAAAGACAAGGTTTCAGAGTTGTCGACACTGTCTTCTCTGCTCTTGAGAACAAAGAGTATTGCTTGGGTGAGTTCCAAGACATAGCTTCTGAAAGGGTCTGGCGCCCGGGCTTGCTTTACAAATGCTTCCTCCCATTCCTAATTATTTTATCCAGAAATCCTACCTAAATGACCGCTGCCCTAAAGTAAGGAATGACAAACGAGTTTTCGGAAATCCAGACCGATAAAAGTCGGCGTTCCATAAGGGAGCATTCTTGGTCCCTTCCTTTATATCATCTATACTGCTGACACCCCAATACCCTCATCACAACCTATGTGGACAATACCGCTATTTTGTTCTCTACCTCGAATCCTAAACCAATATTTAAGAACACCTTGAGCTTATCGAATACTGGTACAAAAAGTGGAGGACAAGAATGAATGTAGGAAAATGTACTCAGTGTACGTTCATGTTGGAAAAAACGCCCTCCACTTTACATCAATAGCAAAGAGAGACCGACTTCGGCTCAAGTACCTAAGACTATTCCTAGACCGCAAATTGACGTCGAATCCTCACACAAGGCTTAAAATATAACAAGTTAACTGAAGACTTAGACAACTACAAAGACTCCTAGACCCGAAATCCGACTTTACCGTCAAGACTCAACTAACCTTATACAAGACCTAAACAATACAACAATACGATACGCAAGGATGGCACAATTACGCAGAAAACAAACACTTTGAGCCCTGAAGATGATCTCAATCATGACTATGACTGTATGACTCCCGAAACCGTAACAAGTGTAAGGCGGTCGACCAGACTTAAAGACGAGGTCCATATGGAAGACACAGCTCAACCTAAGACAAGAAGTGGCAGCTCTCGATAGAAGTAGTTTGCCCGATCAGCAGCTTAACCCCAAGAATAAACCAATAAACCAACAGTCATTCTCTTACAAGTTTTACACAAAAAAAACTGTTATGCATAACTATGCCAAATATCATGGAATAAATATTTTAGTTATTGTCGTTACATAAATACATTTTATTTTCAGGAACAGACGAAAGTTTTAATAATGAAACATTTGGGAATTAATGGTAGTAATTAAAAAACTAAAAATTTTGGCATACCTGGTTCAGCATTGATCCCGCCGACTATTCTGATGTCGTCCTTTGATGGGTTGCTCCGGCGGGTGCCGCATGTCACCTCGTATCCGATTGGGCTGGCGATCAACGGAAAACATTAACTACTGCCAAATTTAATTTGTGATTTAAAGAGATGTTTGACTTGCCTGTCGGGTTTACGTTCTGGACGGGGTCGGACTGGCCTCGGGGCTGTGGACGGCTGCCATTGGAAATGGAAATGGTCCAAGCCGTTGTCAGGCCCAGGAGACGGTTGTGTCCTGCAAAACTGGACCGTTAAAATATGAATTTCGAGATGAATTGAAATGAAACGTACAGCGTGGGAAGCGGGGCGAAGACGAATCCGAAGTCGAGAGTCGACAAGTTCGAAACGGAATAGTACTTAAAAGGCTCGGCTTCAAAGTGTCCGGGTGGATAGCGGACGATAGATTCGTTTTCTGAAAAACTCTCAGTTGACAATGTTTCTCAAAAAAATATTTTTTTCATTACCTTGCTTCGACTTTACTATCAGTACGCAAGCGATAGTCAAGAAGAAATTTCGCACCATATTTACTCCTGCGAGATCGTTCCTCTAATGACCGCCGTCGCTAATTCGAACATAATCACTCCTGGACGTTTATGACATTTATCACGAAAAACAGAAAAGGGTCATTATTCAATGTCGAATTACAATTGAACAACATTTGTAGTATCATTATTATTGCCAAATACGAAAGTTAGTATTAAGGTATACGTAAATGACGCGATATCATTTAGCGAGTTCTAGATAAATAAGCTAATTCGATCTTTCTGCTTGATTTGTTAATTTATCAGCAGTTTGACAGATTGTCTTTTAGGACTGATTCTCGTCTTTTCGTGTCTTTTAGTTAAGGGAATTCTTCCATTTTTAGCAGATGCTCGTGTGTGGCATCTTGTGTGCATCCTGTTTGTAGCTCGTCGTATCTGAACATATCCGGATGAGAGCGAAATGGCGTCTTTTCAAAGATGCTCTTTGTCAACAGTAAATTCAAAGAAGTCTATGTCGGTGATGGTCTCTCAATTATCGAAGTTTATTCTTTATATTTTTGCGATCCTCTTTCTATGTCCTCATCCTCCCATTTTAATTTAACACGATTTTTTGGAGATAAAGACATCCTTTGAAGTCAAAATGCAGAATTTGCTGTTGGTTGTGAATTTTTGAATTGGTGAATTGATTTCGTGCAAAATGTACCCACTAGCAATGGTTTGGCATATGCGGTCGTTCGTTCTCTCTCCCATTTTGGGATTAATTAATAGTTTTCATTTATAAGTTTTTATATAAAATCAAGTCATAATACACCTAATACACTTCCTACAAGTCGTATGAAGACAATTAAACTGAAATCACTCCAAACAAAAGATCAACCCAAACACCAAGTTTTTGGGGTTAGTATGATGGACGAGCAGCTTTTGTCCATATAGAAAAGAAAAGCTGTATTGGGTCATCATTTTGAGCAATTCCCCAAGATGAGAAAAACTTGGCCAAGTAGCATGCATGATAACACAGACTGGTATCCAGAGAGTGGCAAACAAGGAAATATCCAACATCTAAAAGTCTGGGGAAGACACATAGCTGGGCTTTTATCCCATTTCACTTGGAGTCATGGGGATTTATCATTTAAAATTTTGTCTATTATATTTGATCTCACCTCTACAAATGGATTTCCTGGACTATTTTTGTTTCTTTTATGAAGTAAAGATTTATTTCTAGGGGTAAGTATCAAGGTTTACATAATTGAAGAATGGTTTTTAAAAAGATAGTTCCTACTCACAGTAAGTTGTTTTGCAACAATCGGATTTCAAGCTTTTAGCTCATCATCAGGTTGTAGAACTCCTTCAACCTGATGATGAGCTAAAAGCTCGAAATCTGGATCGTTGCAAAACAACTTACTGTGAGTAGGAACTATCTTTTTAAAAAAGGAATGAACATCGCACTCACTCCATCATTCATCATTTCAATTGACGAATGGTTTCCTTGTAAAGGAGTTTTATTTAAAATATGAAATTTTAAGACCAATTTGTCTTATTTAAATTTTTTGGTTTATGTTAGAAAACATTTCTATGTCCTTTTTCGATAAAAAAAGAAAATACATTACTTATTTACATTTATTTGGACGTTTTTGGGATTTTCCCCCTTCATCAGCATCCTATATTGTATTAAATTTATACTTTATTATTATCCATATTATTATTTAAAAGATATGACCATTTTGCATTTGTCGACAAGCTGCATGGCCAGGATGGAATGCAAAAAAACATCCAAATAAATGTAAATAAGTAATCTTTCAATTAATTGGTCAAGCAGACCACGAAACTAGGGAAATAAATAAGTAATGTATTTATTTTTTTACTAAAAAACTGCATGGAAACATAAACATTTTCTAACATAAACCAAAAAATTTAAATAAGACAAAAGTCTTACAAATTCCATATTTTAAGTAAAACGCCTTTATAAGGAAACCATTCTTCAATTATGTAGATCTTGATACTCATCCCTAGGAATAAATCTTTACTTCATATAAGAAACAAAAATATTCCAGGAAATATATGATAGGGCAGTTGCATATGATATGCTCTGTTGTCTCTTCTAGTCATCATTCATCACATGTTGTAGTAATTGTTTAAGTGATATTTTATTGCAGTATGTTCTGTAAATATACAAGTTTTTAATTCCTTTCTTTCTGTTCAGTACAATTTCCTGTTTATCTCATTGGATTGTTTTTGGAAGTAGTCTTTTTGTTTGCCCCATATATGATTTATGATCTTAGAATGATTAGTGTACTTTAGTTAACCAAGAATCTAATTCTGTTCAATTTGCTATAGTTTAAGCCAAAAAAATGGATTTGTGGCTGAGTTGTTCCAAGGCTCCCTTTAGCAAGTAAATCTGCTGTGTCTTACAAGTGGATGACCAGATTGGTGTGTCACGAATTTAGACCAAACTTTTTTTGGTGATTCTACACTCCAAAATATTGGACATGTATTTCCCACTTCTTGTGAATAGGCCCCGGTTTTGCATAAAAAAATTCAGAGAGTTAAAATTTTAAGTTTTTTAAATATTTTTTTATTTCTCCAGTTTACTTGCTCAAATCAACTTATGAATATATCTTTTTACAGTGTTTTTTATATAGATCGCAATAAAAATATAGTAAAAGCTATCAATGTTGATCAATAACTAAAAAATTTTTAAAAATCAAATATCTTTCAAGTAAACTAGGTCTTTTGTGTGTGTATGTGTGTGTGTGTGTGAAAAACTAATATGAAATTTTGTTTTATTACCTCTAGAAACCCCTAAATAAATTTTTTTAAAATTTAAATTTATTGATTTTTTGACCCCTAAAGTTTTTCCTACTGCATTCTTAGTGCACACTTATATATATTATTTTTATCAAAAGCTAGTGGACTGATTTTCATGGTTCATAATTTGTTTTAACAAAATTGTCAAGTGCATTTTACAACTGTATCAAACATTAAAATCTGACTATTATTTCCATTAAAAAATTTAAAAAAAGGTTAATTTCTGACAATTTTGGCTTTTTTCTTATAGAAATATTTTATATATTTAATGGTACATACATCCTCTTCATTTTCAAATGGTCTGTTAGACATTACAATCATTTTAAAAAATATCCGTTTCAATCAGATATTTTACAATAAAATGACTGCTCAAAAATCAGAAAAATTTTATGGGTCAAAAAATCGATAAATTTAAATTCAAACAAAAATTTATATTAAAGGGTCTCTAGGGATGCTAAATTGAAATTTTATATCAGTTAAAAAAAAAAGAAAAAGAAAGAAAAAACCTAGTTTGCTTGAAAAATATTTGGATTTGAGAAATATGTTGGTTATTGATCAACTTTGATAGCTTTTACGATATTTTTTATTGCAATCTACATAAAAAAGCTGTAAAATTATATATTCACATAGTTGATTTGAGCAAAAGAACGGTGTAATGAAACACACCAAATAAATGGAAAATTTCAACTTTCAATATTTTTTGGCAAAACTAGGGCCTATTCACAAGAAGTGGTGGATACTTGTCCAATATTTTGGAGTGTAGAATCGCCAAAAAGTTTGGTCCAAATCCATGACACACCAACCTGGTCATCCCTGTGATAACCTGAAAATCCCTGGTAGCCAACATAGTGCTAGACTATTTGTAGATCCCAGTGTTTTAGAACAATTAAGCAGTTATAGACAAGTTTTGGGTTAATCTCGTAGTCATGGAAAGCTTTTAGAGCTACCTTACTGACTGAAAGTATTATTATTATTGAGACATTTGATATTGATATTTTGATTATTGAATATGCACACATTTCTATGGCTAGTAGATCGGCTTAAAAGTTGGTTGTAGTGGGGCTGAGGATCAATGTGTGATATGGTTCTTATATCTTTGAGCTACAGACTTATCTTCATTTAGCTCCATGTTTAATAGTTATATCAAATGGCTTTTCAAACTTTCAAAATTGGCTCAACACCCTTGGAAAAAAAAGCAGAACAGTATAAAGCATAAAGTAAATTAAATGCAGTTTACACTAAAAGTTATTAATCAAATCATATAAAAAAAAAACTTATTAAATGCAACAGAGACTTACCTGAATAGCGTTGAGGAGGGCTATGGGCTCTCCTCATTCTGCAAAAGTGGTCACACACTTTTTTTGATGTGCAGAATATGATTATTATTATCATCATTACAATTGACTAGGCATTGAGATGAAGTTATGGGAATTGAAGTGTGCAGTATAGTTGGATTTCCCCCCATTTTTTTGGGACTAAATTGATTTTTCTAATTTCATGTTTGTCTCAATTAAAGTTCAATTGAAACAAAAGAAAAAAAATATCTATTAGTAAAACAAAAATTATGTACCTTCTAACCGTTCTAAGTTAATTTGGTGATATGTAAAGTACGTGATGTTTTATTTCTGGAACAACGATTCCATTAAAATTCATATTTCATTCTTTACAAGCAGACAGTATGGAACCAAGATTCGGCTACTGGGGCAATAGTAAAATATTAATACTAACATGCTCACTAACCTGACTGCCAGCAGAGAGAGTTGATTTACCAGTTGTAAATCCCTCCTGGGAAAATAACAAATTAAATTAAAATCAGAGAATATTAGTCGAGGTACATATAACATAGATGTAATATAAATAAAATTTACCCTCTGAAGGCAACAATCCTCGCCTTAGAACAGTAACTATGAAGCAGCTAACTCTACACACTGTTCAACACTCGCGAAACAACTTAACGCACAGTTTAAAAAGCACTTTGTGAAAATTAAAGAAAAAGATGTAAAATTGGCTCAACACCCTTGGAAAAAGAAAGCAGAACTGTATAAAGCATATAGTAAATTAAATGCAGTTTACACCAAAGTTATTAATCAGATCATATAGAAAAAAAATTGTATTAAATGCAACAGTGACTTACCTGAATTGATGTACAAACTTTGAAAGTTAAAGTGTTTCCCTGTTCAGGACTTCAACGATGTCGATGTGTGCATCCCACCATAACATCTCACTACACAGGAGGCCGAGGAACCGCACCGTCTCCACGTATTAAACAGGTGTGCCCCTCAGGCAGAGTTGAGGGGGGCTATGGGCCCTCCTCAATCTGCAAAAGTCGTCACATACTGTTTTTGATGTGGAGAATGTTATTATTATTACTATTGCGACTACGTATCGAGATGACCTTAAGGGAATCGTTGTGAGCAGTATAGTTGGATTTCTACCCGTTTTTTGGCACTAAATTGATCTTTCTTGTATAGAAAATTTTTTCTAAATTTTATGTTTGTATCAATTAAAGTTCGATTGAAACTAAAGAAAAACAAATGAAAATTTTATCTACTGGTACAAGAAAATTTTTGTACCTTTTAACTATTCTAACATAGTTTTGTGGTATGTAAAGCACATAACGTTTTATTTTTGGAACAACGGTTCCATTAAAATTCATATTTCATTCTTTACAAGCAGACAGTATAGAACCAAGATTCGGCTGCTGGGGCAA